AATGTTTGATAACTATTTGGACATTATAAATATTTTGCATGAGAAATTTGAATATTTTCTGATACATAAAAGTATTTTTAATCTTAGAATGAATGTTACTTTGCATGATAGATAGGCAAGATGTGATAAGAAAAAAAAAAAGGCAGGAGAAAAACAATGCTTTACAAACCTTAAGATTTAATAGAAAAAATTAAATATTTTGTGTATGAAAGCATTGTAATGTTTACTGATAAACTGCCAAATTTGGTTAACATTCGCTTACTAATTTAAAACTTATAGCATGAAAACTATAACAAGCACAAAATGGTTACGAGGTCGGTCCCAGGGACCGAGCCCGGGTTGAGAGAGTTAAACCAGCCACATTGGTATATTAAAAACTAACCAACCTAAGTTTGATTTGGATGATTAACTCAAGTAATATAATTAATTATCTATAAACATCGTTTAGTGTCGGGTAAAATAATCGGTTAACTCTCTCATTACGGATGCGGTCCCAGGGACCGACCTTGTAAACATTTTGTGCTTGTTGTAGTTTTCATGCTATAACTTTTAATTCAGTTAGGTATCTTGTGCAGATTATCTGTAATCATTACAAGACTTTCGTACGAAAAATATCAGATTTTTTTTTATTAAGTTTTAAGAATTTTTGAGTAATGTTTTTCTTTTCGAATGTTGACTATCCAACATGCAAAGTAATTTTGATTTAAAAATAAAATACTTTTATGCATCAGAAAATTTACATGAGGAATCTTTATAATCACCAGATAGTTATCAAACTTTAAGTAAGAAAAAACTTTATATTTTATCTGTTATTTTCACTATTGTATCTTTGTATGGGTTGAATCGATTTGACCAGCATCAAAAGTTAGGAAATAGATATAAATTATGCCTTTTTCTTTCTAGAAATGACTAAAGATTATTGTTTAGTCTAAATAGCTTAGATGTGTACTTGTTATTTTTATGTTATTGACCTTTCAGCCATGCGTCACTAACATCACAGAAGTTTCAATGATGTGGTGCATGTGCACTCATGTTACCATATCTAATAATATAAAACCGACCTTTAGTCTTTACAATGTGACCTGTCTTGGCTGTGTTCTAGTAGACCAGAAATAGTCACATTTCAATTGTTATATGTTATATATGCTTATACATTATTACTATTTACAAACAAATTCTTAAACAATTATATCTTCTAGTTATGACCTTTGTACTCGGTTGCTGCTTGATGTAGGTTGCTAAGACTTATCAAATTTCGCGTGTGGATGATGTAAATCATAAATTACTATATCAGTACCACAGAATTCCACTATAATTTCTCAAGCTTAGTAACTATGCTGTGTTTGGGTCTAAAAATATATATTTTGAGCTCACTAATGTCTTACGTTACCACTTGACATGAAAAGAAAGTTTCCCACGCAAATACTTCACAGACGCTGAGAAAACCACTAGGGGACATTCTGAGATTTCAATTGGTTATACACACGTCGTGAGTGAAGTGCGTGTTTATAAGCAAGTATTTTCAAAAATGGAAGAGGTGGTCATGGTCACATTACTTGATTTAATAAATATATTAATATCTCAGAAAATAGAGAAGATGGGAGGTTTTAATTTTATATTCCAGCTTGTCAATATCTGTAATTTGAGAATCTAATTTGTAAGAAACTATAGGTCTTGTATTTGGACATCACAAACATCTAATTTGTAAGAAACTATAGGTCTTGTATTTGGACATCACAAACATCTAATTTGTAAGAAACTATAGGCCTTGTATTTGGACATCACGAACATCTAACTTGTAAGAAACTATAGGTCTTGTATTTGGACATCACAAACATCTAATTTGTAAGAAACTATAGGCCTTGTATTTGGACATCACAAACATCTAATTTGTAAGAAACTATAGGTCTTGTATTTGGACATCACGAACATCTAATTTGTAAGAAACTATAGGCCTTGTATTTGGACATCACAAACATCTAATTTGTAAGAAACTATAGGCCTTGTATTTGGACATCACAAACATCTAATTTGAACCAGTGCTGCATTCAACATACCATGTGTTACACAAAAATCAATATATAGGATTTTTTTAATTGTTACTTTTAAATTAAGAAATTAACTAATGTATAATACCAAACTTACTGACATACATTCATAAAATAGTAGTTCAATAAAATTTTGAATGGTAGTCTACAAATGCGATGACATGACCTTTGATCCATGACCACAGGAAGTCTTGCATCAGTAGTGTTAATCAAAATTATTGTTTCAAGTTATAACTTTTTTTCAATGATTTCAAATGGCCAAAATATTGCTGTTATGATTTCTCATTATTATTTTTCAATAACTCCGAATACAGGTTTTTGTCATTTTCACAGACCTTTTGATCAGCACATTGTCATGAAATTGTGCTAGTATAACTGAAATGTACTAAATGTATTTCCATAAAAGTGGGTGAGTTTTTAGTAAACGTTACAAGACTTTTGTACATAAGAATGATTTTTTCTACAGTTACACATTTGACACAGTACTAGTGTTTCCTGTCCATTCGATGATACTGTCATTCCTTCCCAGTTACACATTTGACAC